TTTCCTTCTGCTCCGTGCCTTCTGCAGCCCTGGCCCCTGCGCAGCGCCGGCCCCCGGCGTGCGAGGAGAGCTCGGACCTCATGGACGTGAGCACCTTCATGGGGTGGCCCTCCCCGTCCTCTTCTTCTGAGGAGGAGGAGGAGGAGGAGGAGGAGGAGGAGGAGGTTCAGGAAAAGCAGGAGGGGGAGGAGGAGGAGGAGGAGGAGGAGGAGGAGGAGGGAGGAGGAGGAGGAGGAGGAGGATCGGAGCGGAACGGAGCGCTCATGTGGGCACTCGCCCAGGCCTCTTAAGGGCGCGGAGCGGTTGAGGCCGTGGCCTCGCAGCAGAAGAGCTGGGAACATCGATAGCCTACGTACTCAGGGTGCCAGTATTGTTGAGGTGCCGCAAGACGTGTAGGCAGCAGCGTGTTTTTCTATCTGTTCCCTTTTCATTTGTTGCTGTTTAAGCACATCGGGTCGCTCATGTCGTTGTGCCTGCGCGTTGTCTGGCGTTGGTTGTTCGCGGCAGGCGGAGGAGCAGGAGGAGGAGCAGGAGGAGGAGGAGGAGCAGGAGGAGGAGGAGGAGGAGGAGGGGGAAGAGGAAGAGGATGAGGAGGAGGTGGAGGAGGAGGAAGTGGAGGAGGAGCAGAAGGAGGAGGAGGAGCAGTAGGAGTATGAAGAGTAGAAGGAGGAGGAGCAGTAGGAGTAGGAGGAGTAGTAGAAGGCACGGCACGGCAGCATGGGGTCCGCAAGTCGAACCCGCTGAGCTCCTGACAAGCCCGCGGCGCTGGGGCGGCGGCTGAGCGCGCGGCTCGTCGAGGCCCGATGCGCACTGAGGCAACGAACGCCCGCTGCCCCCCGACGACGGTCGGGCAGGCGCCGTAAGTAGATCGGAAAAACGAGCCATCCCCGTCTTCGGCAGACGGGCTGGCCGCAACCGCCCGCCCGAGAGGGAAGGCGGCGGCCTGCCTGGGGATTCGGGTGCAAGCACGGTCGAGGAGAAGACGGGCGAGGACAGGAGGGCTCAGAAAGGCATACATGCTCCGGGAGAGCGCTTCCGGGACATGCCGAAAAGGTCGAGGAGAGGAGGAGGAGGAGCAGGAGGAGGAGGAGGAGGAGGAGGAGGAGGAGGAGGAGGAGGAGGAGGAGGAGGAGCAGGAGCAGGAGGAGGAGGAGGAGGAAGAGGAGGAGGAGCAGGAGCAGGACCAGGAGCAGGAGCAGGAGCAGGAGCAGGAGCAGGAGCAGGAGCAGGAGCAGGAGCAGGAGCAGATGCAGGAGGAGGAACTGCTCGGCCCGCTCCCCTCCTGCACGCCCTCCTCGCCGCTCCGCCCCCCCGCTTCGCCTCGCCCTTCCTGCCCTCGGCCCTCCTCGCCGCCGCCCTTTCTCCCTCCCTCGCCCTGTCTCTCCCCCGTCCGTTTCAGGCGCCGGTCCTTGCTTTTTCTCGCATCCTCAGCGGCGAGCGAGACGGGGGGAAGCGAGGAGGAGTAGGAGGCCCTCTTGGAAGGCGGCGGGGCTCCCGAGAAGCTCTCGCGCCTGCTGAGCAGCTGCCCGCGCCGTCGGGGAAGGCTCAGGCAACCTCTCAGGAGGCCGGGTGACTTCGAGCCTTCTGACAAGGCCGTCTTCTTCTCGCTTCCCCCCGGGCTCGACGCCGACATCCAGCCTCCGTGCTTCATTCGGCCCGGGCTCCTTAGCGCGCCGGCCATGCTGGCGGGCACGGCATCGGTTCACCGTTGGATTCGGCTCCTCGCCGTTCCAGCCGTTCTCGTCTCATGCGACGTGCCATTTCGGCAAGCTGGAACCTCAGCTTCCTTTTCCACCTCCGCCCTTGCATACCCCCTTACATCCGACTCCACAGCTTTATCATTCCTTACCTTGATACCTCCATCCATGTTCACCTCCATATCTCCGTTCCTCGATACCTCCAGACCTCCAGACGTTTACCTTGCTCCTAAAATCCTCATGCGTCCCTCCAGCATCCATCCCTCCAGCCGAGCTGCCTGGATCTTGCGTTCCGCCCTCAGAGAAACGGGAAGGATACGGAAGTGAGGGGAGGTGGGTGGGTGGCGTCGGGAAAGGAAGGGGTGGGCGGTGCCAGTGTGACATTGTTGAGATTGATGACGCACGATGCATGCTTCTTCTTCTTCTTCTTCCTCTCCTTCTTCTTCTTCTTCTTCTTCCTCCTCTGTTTCTTCTTTTCCTTTTTATTCCTGCTCCTCCTGCTGCTGCTGCTGCTCCTTCTCCCGCATGCCCCTCTACGCCTCCATGCTTCCGTTCGTACCTCCGCACTTCCAGACCTCTGTACCTCCATGCCTTCCCTCCTTCTCCCGGCGCCCCCCGCAACCCCTTCATCAAGGGCAGAAAAAACGCCCCTACCCTGGTTTACGAGGCGCTGTGCGCTGAAACTCCTGTGGGCCGACAGGGTAAGCCCTGCGTGGTGTGCCGCGTCCTGGCGGCTCTAGGCTTTGGGGCTTCCCAGGAGGTTTACAGACCACGCACTTGTAACCCAGGGGCGGAAAAGAGGGGGGTGATGACTAGGGGGGGGTGGATATCATGGCGGGGGCCATGATATCTCCCCAGATTTCATGGCGCCTCTTCTTACTTCGTTACGCCCCTGGGCCCCCCGCTGGGCCGCGCACGTGCCGCCGGTCATGATTTGCACCCCCCCCCTCTTTGACGCCCCCCTCTTCGCCGCTCCCGATTCAGGGCTCCTCCCCCTGGCCGCGCCGCGCCGCACCTTGGCCGTGCCGTGCTTCTCGCCTGGCCGCCCCGTGCCGTGCTGCTTGCGCTGCTGGCTCTGCTCTGCTCTGCTCCTTCGCCCCCGCCTCCCCCGTGATGAGGAGGGAAGAGGAGAAGGAGGAGGAGGAGGAGGAGGAGGAGGAGGGGGAGGAGGGGTAAGGCGAGGAAATGGAGGAGGAAGGAGGAGTGGAGGAGGAGGTAGGGAGGAGAGGAGGAGGAGGAGGAGAGGGGATGATGATGATTATTGATGCTGATGACTGAGATGATGCTGCTGCTGCTGCTGATGATGAATGATCGATGATGAGGATGATGGGATGATGATGATGATTGAATTTGATGATGATATGAATTTGATTAGAGTTTCACTGATGATGATGATCGAAGATGATGATGATGATGATGATGATGATGATGATGAATGACCTATGATTGATGTTATGAATGATGATGATTATGATGATGATGGATGAGGATTATGCTGCTGCTGATGATGATGCTGATGATGATGATGATGCTGCTGATGATGATGATGGATGCTGAAGGAGCAGGAGGAGGAGGAGGAGGAGGAGGAGGAGGAGGAGAGGAGGAGGAGGAGGAGGAGGAGGAGGAGGGTGCCCCCCCTCTCAGGAGGGAAACAAAAACACACAGGCACAATTCATCGTCGATCCCGCAGAAAATAGGGGAAAGTATGGGAGGTAGGGGGGACGACAAAGAACCAGAAGATATGGGAAAAGATGGGGAGTCGTGCCCCCCCTCTCAGGAGGGGAACAAAAACTTGTTTGGTCTGCGGGTCGAGAGCGAGCCTCTTCCGGTTAAGAGCTAGGCGGGCCGCGCGAAGCACCAATTGGGGAGACAGGGCGCGGGCGGGCGGGGCCTCAGGCGGCCGGAGGGCGGGCCGGGGTGCAGGCGGTGCTGAAGAGCTTGCACAGGGAAAGGTACGCCTCGGACAGGGGCCGGAGGCGAAGTCCCGAGGGAAACAAAAGCACACAGACACAATTCATCGTCGATCCCGCAGGAAGGACAGTCCCTGGCGCAAATAGGGGACGTGGGGGGGGGGGAAGACCGAAAGCAGAAGATATGGGAGAATTTTGGGGACGCCAGTTATTCGTGTGTGGATTCATTTCTGTGTCCCGGGGCCCCTTCACTCTCCCCTGCTCCTCCGCGCCCTGCCTCCCTCGCGGGCGCCGTCTCCCTGCGTCCCTCGCGGGCGCCGCCGCTCTGCTCTGCGGCGAGGTCCGGCTCGGCGCCCTGCACCTCTCAGGGCGCCGACGTCGCGGAGCGGATTTCCTTCGGAAAACGAGGAGGAGGAGGAGGAGGAGGAGGAGGAGGAGGAGGAGGAGGAGGAGGAGGAGGAGCGTCCTGGAGAACTTCGTTCCGGATTTCGAGGTGAGTTTCGTGCGCATCCTCTGGCAAGGAGTGGAGACAACAAGTGATCCTGGCGAAGGGCCCAGCCATGTGCAGTTGTGGGTGCTGCAAGTGTGAATGTCTTCTTCGGTGAAGCTCCCCATGGGGCCACGAAGCGCGTGGGTGAAAGTGCCAAATTGGGTGAGTGGGACGCATGCGGGCGGTCCCAATGGTGGCTTCGGTGGAGCTCCCTATGGGGCCACGAAACGCTGTACTGGATGGGTGAAACTGCCAAATTGGATGTTTCGGGACGCATGCGGACGGTGGCACTGGGGCCTTCGGTGGAGCTCCCCATGGGGCCACGAAGCGCTGTACTGGGAAGGTGAAAACGCCAAATTGGATGTTTCGGGACGCATGCATACGGTGGCACTGGGGCCTTCGGTGGAGCTTCCCATGGGGCCACGAAGCGCTGTACTGGGTGTGCGAAACGCAGGGAGGAGGGAGGAGGAGGAGGAGGAGGAGGAGGGGGAGGAGGAGGGAGGGAGGGAGTGATGAACGCGGGGCGCTCTCTTCAAAACGAGGACCCAACACCGCAGGATGGCTGGCAACAAAGATCTGCGCGACGCTCACTTCGCTGTTCCTTCGTCGAGTTTCTGGGTCTTGCATTGCGACAGAGACCCACGCAAGCACTGCGCTGCAGCACGTCTGCAAGGCCGGTGCGGTGACGTCTCGCCCGGCCCTCGCCGAGCCCGGCGCGGCGGCGCTCCCGCGCCCGCGCGCGAGGTCCGACGAGCCGGCGCCGAGCCCCCGAGAGGCCGTCGAGCCGGCGCCGGAGCCCGCGGCCGCGCAGGCCGCGCCGCGGGCGCCGCCGCGCGCGCGGGTGCCCAACGCGCGCCCACGCCGCGGAGCTGCCCCTGGCAATGCCCCGCGGTGCATGCCTCC